GTTTTAATATTTGAAGATGAGATTATCTGCTTTGAGATTTATTATTTTAGGGAAAGCTTTAAGAAAAGAGCTTTGCAAAGTGTTCCATTTTATACTACTACGGTAGAACAGTTCATAAATACCAAGAACATTACTGTTTAAAAAAATAATTTCTGTGGTCAGCCATCTCTTTATGAACTCATACCAGCATGTCTTTGAATGTGTGTGATTGCTTCATAACCAGTAGTACTTAACTATTGTCAGAAAGTATTAAGAATATCATGCCAGTGAAAAAAATAATAGTGCCTGCCTGAGAAGTTATACCAAATTTGATGGGCTTTTAGAGTATTCTGATATAATTGTGAATTCAAATGAATCTGGGAACAGCTCTCTGGTATGGCAAGAGTCATATACACTGAAATTGGTGACAGTTACTTGAACCAAGCGTAAGAAGAATAAAGCAGCAGAGCGTGGAAATTTTTTTATGTTTTATGCTCTTCTGCCCCCCAACACACTTCTTTTTCTTTTGAAGTGTGAGGATAGTATTAATCATGACAAACTACCTTCATATGACTTTGGCCTGAGTTAACAGTTACAGGTTCATAGGTACACTTAAAAACAGTGGAGAGCAGTGATTGAACAGAGTAATATAGGCTAAGACTGAATTTTAGTTTTAAATTAAAGCATCCTTTTTTGTGAAGACCAGAGAAGGAAGCTCTTGGAATCTATGTTCTATGCTGTTTCTGCTGTTGTTGGTTGTGTGCATTATGCTTAGCAGGCAGCTTGAATTATCCATGCCTTACTTTCTCATTTCCTAAGTGAGGATAGTAGAACTGAACTCCAAGTACTACATGTCATTTGATTTAACATATACCCCCAAAATGCCTTTGCTTTCTGACAGAAGGTGCTATTCACATGTAAGATGTTGCCACTTCTGTTATTTGTCACTCTACTGTCCTGGTGGTGTGGACTGTATTTTATTAGCACTCAAGTTGCAATAGTTTAGGTAAAAAATTCAAAAGCTCTCCAAGAGTGGAATTCTAATGAGTTCAAATGTGGAATTTGGTGAGTGCTCGGTACCTGACTCACTTAGGCTTCCTCATAAAATTCCGAGCCTAATTTTTGATAAATTGTACAACGTTAATTTTAAAGGTAAATAAAAAGTACACAAGAACATCATTTAAAGCTTAGGTTGATAGCAAATTCAGTTGAGCAAAGCACTTCGGTCACAAACTAGGTGCTTGTCTATTGATGTTCTCTGTGTATCGGTGTCTCATTGTTTTTGTAACTTTGGTTTGGAGGATAGCTGTCTGTCTTACCTGAAACCAGTAGAGAGATCCATAAACTCACTTGAACCCATGAAGCCTGCCAGTCAACTTAATTTAACTTCTTTACAATGCTTTAAAGCCTGTCTTGACAAGAAAGTAATTTCTTCTTACAGACTTGTGGTCAAGCTTGAATTTTCTTTCAGTTATTGAAGTTCAGTGCTATCCTTTAATGAGTCATTAATTCAGTTCTCTGAGAATGCTGGATAATTATGTGATTAAAAATAAAATCAGATTAAGAATTGATGAACAGGAGCACAAATGCTGTTGCTGTATGTCATACATATTTCTTGAAGATATTTTTTTCTTCTCTAAGCGGCTAAACACGTTGTCCCTGAAGGTTTCATAGTCATGACAGCTTAAGGAATGAGTCTGATATTTCCATCTTTTTAAAGACGTAGCACAACCAGATTGGTCTGGCTATAACATAGCTTGACAGTTCCCTTACAACTTTTCTTTCAGAAGTTTGTCACATTAATGCTAACAGACAGATATTAGCCCAGGAAGCACAGGCTGTGGAGCAAATTGTGTTTTATATCTTTGGAAAATAAGTATATTTCAGTTTAGTTACCTTGTCATGCTGAAATAATAATTAAAAAAATCATAAAAGTCTTTGGGCTCTACCACAGACTTAAATGCTGTGGAAAGATTAAATTGAATCTCTGTGTATGCTTGAACTGTCATGATGAGATTTATTTGGAGAAAGGTTTTAAATTGTGAGTGGTTGCCACAGGCTGTAATTCCAGATGCTTCACAAGTCACATTATCTGTGTAAAATAGATTATTCTGTGGAATCTTGTGCCTCCCACAAAAATGTGCAGAGAACTCTTTAAATGTTATTTGGTTGTCACATATCTGAGTTTTTTTGTTTTGTTTTTTTTTTTTTGTCTAAAGATTAGTTGGAAAATCTACTTGCTAGAGGGATTTTATATCCAAATTGGTAAATAATGCATTTCTACTGCTTTTTTTAAACCACTATGCTTGTTAATAAGCAAGGCAATATCGCTGTCATATTTTATTAGACCGTTGAGTACAACTCTCATATTGAGTCTGAGGCATGAGGTTATAGCTCTTGTTACATATATATGTTTATTCGGCCACCACATACTGCATTAAATCACACTTTAAACATTCAATTCAACCCTCAGATGTCTGGCTTAGTTGACTCCCCCCACCCCAACATAAATATCCTTTTATCAAAATATTTTTCAGAAAGAGGAAGAAGCTCAGCAGAGAATAAGAATATATTCCTTACACATACTAGACCAAAAAAATCAATTTGTGACCATGATGCTATGCAGAGAGCAAGATGCAATTTTATTGACATAATAGTTCCTATGTTCCTTGATAATGATTACAACTTCAGAAATACCCAGTTCCCGTTAAAAGAAGTAATAAAAGGTTCATAGAATAATTTTGATTGGAAGGGACCTAGGAGATCATTTAGTCAAATCTCTTCTTCAAGGCGAGCCTAATTTCAAAGTTAGTCCAGGCTGCTCAGGGCCTTGTCCAGGTGACTTACTGAACTCTCTGTGGGTGGAGAGTCCACAGGCTCTCTGGAAACATATTCCAGTACTTTATTACTTTCACTGTGAACATTTGTTTTCTTACACACAGCTGGAATTTCTCTGGGTGCAACTTGTGACTTTGGTTTCTTGTCCTCTTCGTGCATGTACCTGAGTAAAGCTTTGTGCTGGCTTTTGTGTAATCCACCCCAGGAAATTGAATGCAGTAATGAGGTTCTGCCATAGGCAAACCCACTTCCCTCAGGCTCTCCTTGTACTTCATGCACTCAGACTTCTTTTGTCCACCAGAATGGGCAGGTCCTTTTCTGCTGGGTTGCTCCCAGGCAACCCACTCTATCCCAGGTGCAGGACTTTGCCTTTGTCTTGGCTGACCACCATGAGGGTCTCGCTGGTCAATTCCTCCACATTGACAAAGCTGCTCTTAGTGGCAGCTATGCCCTCCAGTGTGTCAGCTAATCTCCCCAGTCTGGTGTCATCTGCAAACTTGCCCCATCTGTCTTCTCTTCCAAGTCATTGATGAAGATGTCAAACAAGACTTGCTCCAGTATCGATACCTGATGAACTCCACTCCTAACTGTGCATCAGTCAGACTTCAAACCAGTGACTGCTACCCTTACAGTCTGATGGTACAGTTTTTCACCTTGTAGCATGGCCATCCTTTCCCCCCAGTTTGAGTACAGAACTTTGCTGCCGGGACACAGCATCTTCCTCTTACTTAGTGTTTCATTGTGCGCCCAGGAAAATTCCAAGGAACATCAGTGCACCTTGTGAAGGCAGAACAAGAGTCTATATTTTTGCTCCACTTCCCATTGAAAAAGTATTACTATATAAAGCAAGGATTTATTTTAGGAGTGTTATTGTGAAAAGTTACATTGGAAGGCACGGAAATAAATCACAAAACATTTACAATGGAAGCAGGTTTTCTCAGCAAGATACTGCAGGAGTGCTGAACTTGCAGCTCCAGTTTTGATAATGTGAGCATATGAAGCAGAACATAAGGAAGATGAAAAAATAGTGCCTTCATTGAGTTGTCCCATAGCACGCTGCTTGCAACTCCTCACCAGCACAATAGATCATGAAAAACTTGGCTTTGGCCCTTTTGTATTTCTACGCTTTTGTGGGTCATGTCATATTCTAGTTATCAGCGGTAGATTTTATTTTTTTAAGTACAGCTGGAAGTCTAAGGTAAGCACATCACTGCAGGAACTGAAGTTTAAAAAATGAAGGAGATCTACAGTAAAATGTTGATAATTACTAAGTTACAGTCCTTGCAATTCTTTGATAACAGATACTGTGCGAGTGCCAGGCATTGTTGATACAAGCACCATTTTTTTTTGGTAGAATGACATTTCATTTTTGAATGCATTTTAATGCCAACCATCTTTATGCTCTGAGTCACTCTTTCAAGTGTTTGATTGTTCAGTCAATCTTCTGTTGCATTATTATTTTGTTGCATTAAGGCTTCTGGCTAAATAGTTCACATTGTATCACCATCTAAGTATAAACTGCCTTGTACATTCACAGAATGGGCTTTTATAAGGAAGCATAATGAAGGCTCCACTGAGATCAATTTGGCTGCGTGCGCTTCAGAATTGTTCTTCACTCAGTATTATATAAACACTATTATCAGACACTTTAGAAAATTGATTTGCTGATCATTTAAGTGGCAGGCCTGTTGGAGCTGTGCTGAAATCTAATCCTTAGCCTTAATCATGCTCTTGTAATTAAACTAATGAGTTTCATAACAACATAGGTGAACAGATGATGGTGCTTTTTGGGTTGCTGTTATTTTACTCGCAAAGTTTGATCATTTTTATTGGCTGCTGTATCCTTTCCTCTTGCCGTATTTCTGCAACCACAGCTGCATTGCTGCTGTATTGCTTCACCTTGCCTTATCTCTGCAAATACAGCTGTGTGGCTGATGGCCATTTCGTGTACTTTGTGTGTGTCTCTTGGCCTTGGAGTTATTTCCTCCAAGTTATGCCTAGCTTCCTGTTGGGAAAAATGGAAAACTTGGGAAGGTCTTGAATCTGGTCAGACCTGCCTGATGCGGCCTGCATCAGAAGAGCCCCTGTTCCCCTGTCCTGCCTCTTGCTGGTCCAGCTGGGCTCCTGCGGTGTCACTGGGAGGCAGGACACACAGGTTTGGCAGCATCTCAGCCTGCCGCAGCATGGCGGGCTCCTTTCTGAGACAGCATTGGTGGGACTCCACTGCCGAGTGGCTAATGAGGAAGAAAAATGGTGTGGAAAGGGGGGAAGGAGGAGTCCAGGGAGAGAGATGTGAAGGAAAGAGCAAATGAGAGGAAGAAAATACATGTGTGAGTAAGGGACTAACAAGAGGGGAGATTAAGAACACGGGATTCTTGTTTGGGAAGGAGTTGTTTGAGAAGAGAAGGCTGCCTAAATCCAGAAGGTATGGTTGAATTCAGGTGGTGGGCATTTCTGTGTAGTAAGTCTTCTGTGTGGGTATGATGTAATATGTGACATGGTTGAACAGATTTTTTAAGCAACAGAACCCAAATGCCCTTATGTGTTTCATGGATTTTGGTGAATGTGAATATATCACTGCTGGTGGTAGTGAGATAGGGCAAAAGAGGTAGCAGCAGTGATGTGAAACCTATGAGGAAATGGAAGAGACCTCAGTGTAAGAAGTGTGGGGGGGAACGGAAGGTAATGCTTCTCCCAGTCAAGTATCAGTGTAACTGAAATTAAAAATGTAAAAATAATAACTTGTAAAAATATGTAGGAATCTTTGAAAGCTCAGGAGTATAATTAATTGTGGTGTGGTGGTAAGATTGGAAACTTGCTTAGAGACAGCACTAGCCAGCTGTCCAGTCTCTCATCCATGACTTTTATCTTACTGATACTAAGAAAAAAAAAAAAATCTTCTCTTGATGTCTCATTCTCTTTCCTCCTTCTGTGGAGTAAATCTTTTTTCTAGGTGTATCTATTCTGGTATGTTTTCCCATCTGTTTACAACCCTTTTCCTGAATTTATTGTGCAGAAGCATCCTGCTTATTCTTAGCTTTGGGATTATCAGCTTCGTGCTGTTAACTAATAGAAAAAGTGCTTTAGATGCTTGTGGTAATAATTTATGGAGATGGAGCTTTGTGGCTTTAATGTGTCTGTGTCTTTCTTTTCTCCTATCCCCCATACTGTAGGTTTGATGAGAAGAAGAAGGTGAGTAGAAATGTTGCATGGGAGCACATTGCATTTAAGGTGTGGTAAGTTAGAAATTATTTGTAATTTTGAGGAGAAACGGGGACAGAGGAATATAGCCGGTTATATTGCCTCCATCCAGAATTAACCTGCTATCAGTCCAAAGTGACCAGGCTACCACTCTTCTGCCGATCTTCCACATCTGGCCAGGCTTTTGTATTGGGTCTTTCACCAGCTCAAGTCTAGCTTGTCCCTGGTTTGGTGTGGAAGAAGCTGGGTAGTGCAGAATTTGGCCTATGCAAGTAGATGTACATATTGGTTGCAATGAATCTGTGATACAGAGGTTGTGAGAAATATCTCTTAGTTGTTTCATTCCTTATTGTGCTTTCTTAGTTGGTATGGAGTTTTGTACAGAGAAGCAAGGGCAAAGCAGTACTCTCTCTTGTGCCGAAAGCAGAGCTTCCCAGCCTCTTTTGGGTGTGGATAGAAAATAATGCTGTTTTCTTCTCGCCCTGGTTGGTTTAGAGGTCTGCAAAGCAGTTTATCTGCACTAGCCATTACCTGAATCAGAGCCACAAACCTGAGGTCACCATCTCAGCTGTAAAGCTTGGATCCAAACTCGCATAATTTGCTCTTGGCCCATTGAAGACATCAAGACCAGGGTTGAAGCTTTGGTGTAATTTTTATACATCTGCTTGTTCAATTTATCTGCAGATACTATCTTTATTTGCATCCTTTCCAGGACAGAAGAAAAAGATGGTGCAGGAGTCTGTATGACCTTTGCTAGGATGCCCTTTCTTAGCTCACTGAATGTGTGGCCATGACTGGGAATCCACACTGTAACAGATTGTTAGCTTTTCAAGACAGTCCTGACTATCAGTTCAAATTAGTACCTAACTAACAAGTGACAGTATTACTGATACAACATGTCAATTTGTTGTCACTGGTGCTTTGTGGTAACTGATCTTGGGGTTTTGGTGCTGAACTGAAGAAATTGGAAGCAGCTAGATACTGAAATGTTTAAAAGGTTTTGATCTTGTTATCTAAATGGAAAAACCTGTTTGTTTTAGGAAGAATCCACACAAAATACTCCATTGCATGTAGGAGGAGGAGATCATATGCAGGGCAGAATATTGGCGGCATGATTGTGTCGAAGGTACAAGGAGCGTGGGAGATTAATACTCAGTTCCCTTTGCAGCAGAGATTTAACCCGTATTTCCCATTGCCTGCAAACGTGCATAGATTTTGGGCTGTTTGGGCTGGTGGGAAACATTGTCAAATTCTCTTAAGTTTTTCTTGGTAGGAGAAGAGCATGCATACAACCACTTGAGAGTGCCAGCCTCAGATTTGCTGCCTGTGGTTCAGACCCGGACATTAGCTTCACCACTGACCGGTAGGGACAGGCGTCCTGCAAGGTGGAATGGTCTCGCATTGTATAAGATTCTTGTATAGAAAAATAAGAGTAGGTCTCTTGGCTCGCTAATCCCTTAGTGAAATGTGTATTTATGCACAGTAGCATGATACCAGTGGTGGAAATAACACTTTTATGCATGTTTCAAAAAAATGAGTACCCTGATGGTTCAGTTTCTCTTGTGAGAGACAGAAGACGTGATTTTTATGTCAGCTGAGGCAGAATTGTTTCTACCACACTGAATGTAATTAAACTTGAGTAATGCATCTCAGTGTACATGCAAGCTTTTTTTTCCTGTTCAGAACAATGTGGTGTATTCACTGATTTTGTGGCTAATTGAAAATATGGGGTTTTTGTTAGTATCATTAACAACTGTTTGTGCGCCTTTGAAAATAAAAAAAGTTGAGGAGTGTGTGTGATTTGCAGAGTACTGCTAATTTTTGAACTGTTTCCCTGTACTGAATGCAGTAATGTAAGGTTTAGAAAAAAAAGAAATTCTGACAACAAAATGATGAAATCCTTTGTGGCAGGAGGGAAGCGTGGCAGTCTGGACTTAACTTATAAATTCCTCCTCAGCTTGAGGTCTGTTTTGAAATGTGTTCTAGCTGCAGGGAGCAAAACTATTAGCCTATTTAGAAACAGGCTCTGTACAGCTATATTAGCATCATCACTCCTCCACAGCTTGCTTGCTTGTCTTCCTTCTCTTAATGAACTGCAGTTTGTATGTGCACAGCTGATTTTTAGCTGGCTGCATTTCAGCTGGTCTAGACTGGAAGACAGTGAGTGGGTATAAATTTGTGGTACAAGCACAGGTAATCCCTGGAGAATAGGTGGGACATTTGTCTCTCTTCTGAAGAAGGTTGACATCTCTCAGTTTTGGTATACCTGGGGAACACATTTTAGAAACCTGTGTCCAGAATCCTGTTGATATCCAACTGCAAGGAGAAACAGTTTTACTGGCTGAAATGATTTTAAAAAGCCCATTTCATAGCAGATGTAGAAATCTGTCAATAGATGTTTGTCAGATCATCCTTCTGGGAACATTATGCTTGCAACAGTTTTGCAGCTGCTGAGGTTTTTTTAGTGGTTTTGTCAAAACTAATAACAAGTGAATTCTTTACATTCAGAAATCAGGTTGCTTTTTCAAATTGTTGTCTGCAATGTAGTAATAATAACCACTAGCTCATGGAGATAGTAACTTTCCATTCAAGCACTCAAAGCTCTGTACAGTATGGTTGTATTCCTGAAGATAAATTTCTGTCCTTTTCACAATGTGGATGGGGTTTTTCGTTCTTGTACTAATAGGTGGGCTGTTTCAGGTGATTGCCAAGTAATTATTCTTAGTGATTTCTGCTGCACTTCTCTGCAGACTTGGAAATCTGATTTGGCATAGCTGAAGCAGTACTAGCTTTTTGTTCATTTGTATAGTTTTTATTGATGCAGTGGAATACGGTGGTCTAACTGTACAGACTGGTACATTTGTACACGTGTGCCCTGAGCAAGGGAGCCTTCCTCTATGGATTTTCATCAATATTTAGAGCAGTGTAATTATACGTCTACATTTCCATAGGTAGATAGGAAAGCCTTTTGAATCATGTTTGCAGAATGGAGCTATGCATTTTTAATTTTGCATGTTGGAGTTTCTATTGGAAAAGACTTAGGATCTGGCTATAATACTTGAGAAATTACAATAAGAGTTTCATGACTCATAAGTTAGCTTAAGCTTCCAATTAGAGCCTAAAAAGTTTAAACCATGTTGGCCTAAATGTGGCATCCTTTTACAGCCTAAAGAACTTCAGTAAAAAAAATGAAGACTAGATGCTCAGGTGTATGTTTGTGCAGCCCTGGATGGAGTCACGAGAGCTTTGTTTGCATTAGCAATTTAGATTTCTGCATGGAGAGTTGTTTAATAGTGGCAACATATGTAATTCCAGTTACATAGAGCAAGGAAATGCCATACAATTGTTGGTGTGAAGTCTGACAAATAGAACAATTTTCTACCCTTGAGTGATTTAAAACCATTTGCAGTCTTAATCCGAAAAGGCACTGCTTAAAGCAATGCTCTGCTCTTGAGATGAACAACAGTATGATAATCAGACAGAAATGCATAGTTTCACTTCTCCTATGTTATTAGTCTACTGACAGTATTCTGTTTCCCCTGTATGGTGCAGCAATCCAGAGGCTTTGGTGGTTCTGCCACTGATTCTGTAAATCATTTAATTTCTCTAAGCTTCATTTTTGCACCTGTATAAAAAATGGAAATTATATTTTCCTTGCATTTGTTAAGGCCTTCATTGCCTTGAAGGGAGATTTATAACTGCAAGGCAATGTTATTTATTATTGTCTACTTTTATTAATGTGGTGAATTAATAAGTGTAACATTAAAAAAAGTAAATACATTGGGAAGAGATAAGAGAAGAAAGGAATACCTTTCATCTTGTTTTCCTCTCTGCACTTTATTTGGTAGTGGTGTTAAGGTTCTTATCAAAACCAGCATTTCAGATACAATAGTCTAGGAAGCTGTGGAGTTACATGGGTAGGTATGATGAAAACCAAAGTTTGAGCCATTTTTTTCTTTTGTAATAGCAGATGTTTAACAAAAGGATATAGAGAAAGAATAAAATATGACAAAAAGGAAAAATATTCCCTACCTTTTGAGGCAGGTTGCCCACCCGTTCATGCAATTTTGAATAATCTTTCTAGAGCTTTTCTTACCACTGAAAGTCAGGGGGTGTGATTTCCACTAGAATTAAACTTGACAGTGCAAAGATCACTCCAGATTATTTTGCTTTATATCCTGCCCTTGCTTCATTGATCATGTAACTGCAACTTCCAGAGTGATTTAAGCCTCACTTTAAATATATTTAGGATGCAAATTTGCTCCAGTATGGCAACTTGAAATACCAGGCAGGTTTGTGGCTGAGATCATGTGGAGAAAGGCAAGGAACTGAGTCATATGAGATAACATTGAGACATTGACTTATACACTCATCTGGCTATTGGGAGGTGCTGTTACAAATATCGGCTGGATTTCGGAGATAAGCAGTTAAAACAGTCAAATAAAGGGGTGAGGGAAGGAACATTGTCAAGGATAGGCAAGAATTAAAGGTTTATCTTTGATACTAATGTGCGACATGGAATTGCATATTTCACTTATTAGGATAATATATCCATGTAAAATTACAACAGTAGTAATGTTGAAGATGAATGACAGTTTTTGCCTTTGTGACTTTAGTACTTTTTCAGGGCATGTATGTTTAAACTTGTAGGTGTTTTGCAGTAGAGTGCCTGCTATAAAGAGACAGAGTTACTGCATCATTGGTGCATGTCATTGGGAGTGAAGACTGTATTCTGAAAGCTTGTGATTTGAACCAGGAAGACAATGTTTATTAACTCTGTCAATAGGTTCCTTATCTGAAGTACAGACCCGCACAAATACTGTAGGTATCTGGCCTACAGGGCTTTTCTAACACCATTCTCCTGGATCTGAACTGCTACCTAAAGAAGCAGATTTTAGTGCATCTTTGGGTTATCTTTTGAAGTAAGGGATATTGAAGTCCATAAATAGCAGTGGTGATATCTGCTAGTGTAAAACTTTCCAATTTCTAGA